AGCATCAATGCTCTATATGAATAATCTATTACTGAAAAAAAATGGATTTAAGTAGATACAATCTACTAACGCTTAAAACAGCCTCTTTTAGTATTATAGCTCTGTGCAAACAGTATGGGATTACCCAATATGTTTCCCATTAAAAAATATTTACTTGCACTGCTAGCAACATTAATTGTGTACAAATGGTTACTTTGGAACAGAAGAGTTTAACTGTTATTATTTTACAGAGCTATGTTCTCAGACTGGTGGTGGTTATATGTTCCGGAATGCATGTTTTATGGCATTAAACAGAATAATGTGTAAGAACACAATTGGGAATACAAGTAAGGAAATTCCATTCAAGTGGGGGTCACATTCCCTGGATATGGACATATGCTTGGATTATGCTATTAATAGCGATATTAACACAATTGCCCTTATAACGATTAAAGCTAAAGTCGCTACATTTAAATCAGTGTCTGTACATTAACAATCATGGAGACTGAAGACAGCAGTTTTGCTTATTGCCCGATTGTAATAAGAATTAGATGGTAATTAAAAGGTATATTTGGAAAGTAACATGCTCTGGTTTACTTCCTTCCCTTACTCTACTGTTAACTTTTATTTTATGTTGTTTATATGAATAAGTTATGTTTATTTTTATAGTTTACATTTATTTAAACACATTTGTATCCAGCACTGGAATGAAATAGTGTTACAAAGATAATTGAAAACTATTGTCATACTACTTTGGGCACCTACTATTCTGTGGTCTCTGCTCAGTACATTGTACACTGCAAGCCCACTTAAGGAAGGATTAACTCCACCTCCTGCTCCATTTAATCTAAATGTGTTTGTTTTCATTACTTTTCTGTTTATCTATTTTACAGTCTGGAGAGTTTCAAATAATGAATAAAAGTATGTCATATATTGAAAGCAACTTCCAATACAGCTCATGCATCAGTAGTTCTCAAGGTCAATCCTTATATGAAGTAAAAGTATTGATGCCCAAAAGATTACAGAAGTAGTATTATTTATGTTTTGAAAATTGTATTATAGTTATAATGTCTAGATTGGAGAGCTCCAGAACAAAAAAGAGATGCCAATTTTTTTTGCCTTTTTTTACACTGATTTATTATATTTTAGCTAGCTAGAATTATATTAAAACAGCAAGTTATCTGAACTATATCCCGCAGTATCTATCTAAAGTGTGGCCAGAACATTTGCTGTAGTGTACACTCTGTGTATTTACTGCCATCTGTTGACCAAATGTACTTATTGCACATAACGGTACAGTTCAATAGCAAGAGGCTTGGTATTATTGTTACTCTGGGTATTATTGTTACTCCTACTAAGTACAATATATTCAATTGAGCTTTATTGTAGGAATGATTAGTAGGAAATTTAGCTTGGAGCATTTTTTTTTTTTACAAGATTTTCTTCTTTTTACCTCCATATATACATGCTATACAGGTTAAATGCTCTCCATTCCACTAATTTGGCACTCGGTTTGCAAATTTAATTTCTCCAATTAATTAATTTAGTAAGTAAACTGCTTAGTTTTGCTAAAACACCAAATAGATTGAAAAGAAATGTGGACTGTATGTACATTTTCTTTAAAAAAAACTGCTTTGCATTTGCTAGTCTATCAGTTCGCCTTCCCTTTGGGAGGATACATTGTTTTATTATGCTTTAAAACCACAAACCGTGGTAGTGCAGAAAAAAAAAGAATAAGCTGTAAAATATATATATTTGAGATATGTTTAAAATAGAATTTGAGCTCTAGCTGCATAGCTTCTCGTGAAATCATACTTTGATGTGCCAGGATATTTTTAATTTTAAATGGAAGCAAAGCAGGCCCATGAAATCTGATTCCAAAGAACACTGTGTGGTTTAAACATATCACTAAGTTGTTTGTTTTAAGTTACTGGATGCTTTCATGAAGCACATCCTAACTGGTTCATGATGGTATTGGCTGCAGGCCTAGGTGAACATATGGAATCACAGTCAATTGTACTACGAGATCCAAGATTTAATAAGGTTACTTTTCAACAAACACAACTGAGACGCATATGTGAACACTGCGCCACCGTAAATAACAAACTGAAATTGAGTGCATTTTACAATGTTATTCTGTCCACAGGAAAAAATAGAGCTTGGCAACCTTCTTGGTAGATGGCTTAAGCAGACCTATCATTTGAGAAAACACTTTGTATTAATCAACAGAGCATAAATATGCTTTTGCATTTAACAATTTACCACGTTTAAAGATATTTAAAATTAGCTTTGTATTACAGATTTCTTCTGCTGGGACTTGCTTGAGCAGGTGACTGACATGATTTGCTAATCCATTTATATACTGTGCTTCCTAAAATGTTAAGAATTCTGAACATAGTAGGTGTAGCCGGAGGATAGGGGCTGTAGTGGGTGCAGTCGGGGGATAGGGGCTGTAGTGGGTGCAACCGGAGGATAGGGGCTGTAGTGGGTGCAATCGGGGGATAGGGGCTGTAGAGGGTGCAGGGGGGGATAGGGGCTGTAGAGGGTGCAGGCGGGGGATAGGGGCTGTAGTATGTACATCCGGGGTATAAGGGCTGTAGAGGGTGCAGGTGGGGGATAGGGGATGTAGTGGGTGCAGGCGGGGGATAGGGCAGGGATGTATTTATCACAAGGCAAACAAGGCATTTGCCTAGAGCGGCACTTTCAGGAGGGGCGCCAAAAAATGCCACCCAAGCTCCCAGACAAATGCCTTGTTTGCCTCGTGTTCTGGGGCTGTCCACCTTACTGTGAGTGAGTGTAGCTGTTAGTGTGTGTCTGTGAGTGAGTGAAAGTTTGTGTGTCTTTCAGTGAGAATGGGTGTGTCAGTGTGTGTATGTCATTTAATGTGTATGTGAGAATGTGTGCCTGTCAGTGAGTGGGTGTGTCAGTCAGTGAAAGTGTGTGTTGGTTAAACAGTGTGTGCCAATGACTGTATGTGTGTATCTGTCAGTGAGTGTATATCAGTGCATGTATCAATGAGGGCATATGTTTGTCAGTCAAAAAAAGTGGCCTTGACACGAATTGGGGGGGCAAATTTTGATTTTAGGGGTGTCCGAATTTAGTCGTGCCTAGGGCAGCACAAATCCAAAATATACCACTGGGTATACGGATTGAAGTTTATCAATATATTATCTTCAAAACCTGAGCACAACGTATAATTTAATGTTCTATAGATTATTCACCGGAGGGTTGATCCTCTTCAGGTAGGTGGACAATATTTATTTTAGTGGGTGGGTGATCTAATTGAATAAGGACAAAGAGCTCTGTATACAGGCCCAATGCTGACTTTATAGGATTTCTTGATTGGGTAACCATGAAGAGATATTTTGTTTTATTTAAAATCACCAAGAAATCAGGAATGATAAAAAGATATACCTCCAACTACTGTAGACTACAGTGAATATACAGTGAATATATGTTTTAGCCACCCTATTCTAAAAAGTTGACTGTGTATAAAAACAAACTCTGTATTTTGAACAGTAAAACACTAGCTCTGTATATTTTTTTCCAGTTCTGTCATTTTTCCCTAAATTTTGTAAATCATGTGTCAATTTACCAAAATTCCACTTTATTTTATGCAGATATAGGATCCATAAAAAAAGGTTAGCAATTGACCTTTACAGGCCTACTAACAGTTGGCAGGATAATCCCGATTTTGGGGTCCTGTCCTGCTGTTCTGATTTTGTACTGCTGTTCGTCATCTGGGGACACCAGGGAACTGTCCTCAGTTAACACAGAGCGAGTCAACATTTGATTCGCTCACCCTTGGATTGGGCACTAAAACTAGGCAGAGAGCGCTTTAGCAGAGCTCTCTGCACGGTCCTGTAGATTGGGGGCCAATCGGGAGGCAGTCTGTCAACTTGGCGTGCTTGAGAATAAAAACAGCAAACAAAAAAAAAATAAAAAAAAACCAATCTTCTAACTTAGATGAAGTTCCCCTGCTATGTTTCAGTAGTGATCTGTGCGTGCTTAGAAGGGATTACGTGATAGATTTCACAGAGTTTTAGGATACATATTAAAACCTCTATGACACATGATACAGACTTTTAGGACTCAATACTTAACCCTGGGAATTTGGTTTTCACCCCTCTAAAATGCGAACAGAACATATTAAAAATAGATCACCCAACACATTCTGTCTAACTAACATACAACTGGGTTGCAAAACCAGACAAGGTCTATTTGCGTGCATTATTCTACAACAGTTTTATTAAAATACATATATGATCTAAAGGGTGAGAACTATATTTATAGGTTTCAGTGCAAAGCCAGCATTAAGCAGACTATCTGCTGGCAACATTTAGACAGCTGGGAACACTTTAACCTGTCAAACTGACGCATTGTTTTATTACAATATTTATGGCAGGAACCTAAACTAGTAGCAGCTTTGTAAAACAGAAGGATTATAACTAAACACAATATCTCACATTTAGCACTATGTATAGCAATATAGAAACGGGAACACCAATAACATTTGAATGTGTAAGCAATCAGGAGCTCTAAAACAGCAAATGGAAAATATGACAGATTTGCTTTGTGGTGCAAAAGGAGTAAATCCGAGACGGAATGTAGGACAGAAAAAGAAAGTGAGAAGAATAGAAAATATTAGCGAGAAACCATCTAATCCATGAGGGTTTGTTATTATTACTATCAGAAAGAAGAAGCAATGGAGCCATAAAGGCGGCTGATGGAAAGAGCAAGAAAATTAAACAGTATTAACACCAGTTAGTGTGAGATGAACCTGCACACCCATTGAGATTACAAGGCATATAAGCTTCTTCAGTGCACAAGTTAGAAATCAAATGGTCTACTTGGCATAGTGGAAAAACACTCGCCTTTCTCTTCTGGGACCGGGGGTCAAGTCCAGCTTGATGTCCTAAGTGAAATGAGTTTGCTGGTCTCAGCTCAGTTCCCAGAGTGCAGGAGTCCACATCACATAACCACCACACATAATTTGGCATTAATGGCAGTCTCTGCTCAGGACAGGCCCAGGATTGAGCTGGCATGGAGACTGAACTACCTCTCACCCATAAAGAGGGTGCTCCCTCCACATCAGGGTTGAGGTCATTGGTTGGGCAACGCGGGGAAGCTCGCACTGCAGCTGCCTGATTGTAGCTGGCCTGTGGATAAAAAGAGGACTTCAGTTTCCATTCCAGCCAGTCCCTGAAGCATCAACAATGTATATATTTGTGCTCATTCTCTGTTCTGTGGTCAATACAATGCAGCTTTCCCAGACAGGCCTCAAAATAGAGATAGTATTTAATGAAGAAAAGAAAAACAATACAAGAAAAGAACAAAAACACAGAAATACACATACTTTAAATAAACAACAGGGAATATAAAAAAATGAATATAAATGACAAATACAATAAGGAGAAAAATAAAGAAAACAATCATTAATTTAATTAAAAAGTTACTAAGGTAATAAAAAAATGCAGAATTAAAAAACTATTTTATCAATTTAAAATTATATGTTAATTTAAAGTATATTATAGTTTTATAAACAAATAATAATACTGATATCTCTTTAAACAGATTCCCAGTTGAATATTTCTAATTTGAAAACTAAATGCAAAAATGCATATTTTTAGAAAAATATTGTTTTGTTGTAGCATTAAAATGTAAAATTTGTCATGTGGAATAGTGCTCCGTCCTTCGACATACATGCATCATTTTTTTTTTAAATGTGGTAAGATTTTTGCTTGTTTTGTTTTAGCTCCAAAATGTAAATATCATAGTGTGGAATAGTGCTCATTCCCTCATCCTACAGGAATCAGAATAAGTGAAGATGAGATTGAAAATGATAAAGAATGTGATTAAGGAATGGAATGTAGTAGAAGCAGTAAAAAAATAAAGACAATAAATGCACAAAAGAAAACAACCACCATTATTATAGCCAACAATATACCCCATGCAGCCTTACTGTAGGAAGCCGGATAACATAATGTATGCAGATCTTTAAAATAAGATCGGAGAGTAATGCATACATGCATAGCGCTCAGGAGAATGAGATTTTGAGGAAACCTTTAGAAAAAACAGTGACCTGAAGGTAAAGGATGATCGGAAAGTAATGTATTATGAAGGTAAAATCTACAATAAAGAGTAAAAAGCAAGAGAGATACCCAGTCAAAAGAATGGAATGCACTGGCTACAATCAGCCCCAACTAAGCACCACTAAGTCCTGCAAATGAGGAGAGTGAGTCTACACAAAGACTTTTTATGAAGCACAAGTTATACCGGTGTAGCCTACAATTATAAATTACGGGTTTTCCCAATGAAAAACATTTGGGATGCATGGAATGAAATTCATCATGAAATAAATTGACTCTTCATATGCAATAACATAAAATAAAGAAACACTCATTAAAATCAAACACTCAAAAATAATGTTTGACATGTGAAGTAGTTTCAAATGATTTTTGACAGATAATTATTTAAGCACACTTGGGTAACAAAATATATATATGGGATTATAGGCAACTTATAAAAATATCTATAGATTAATGTATTCCTAAATCATTTCAGTGTCACGTTACCTGTTAGGGCTCCTCCTCTTGTGCATCATTTTGACACGCATTCCAGCACCTCTGTCTTTTTTGACGTTGGTTACGGCAAACCTGCGTCATTTTATGGCGCTGGATCTCACTAAGCCAATTTTGCTGCATACATAGCTGAATCATTGCGCACATAAATGTTTAGCGTTGCAGAAATCTCGCTAGCCTATCAGAAGCTCCCGGAAGTTATTTAAATCTATTCTGCATGTTGTACTGTAATGGTTTTAACGTGAAGTGAGAATGACTGCCACTATAGGTGTGAGGAGTGCATAATCTAAACAGTGCTATTTCTCAGAAATTACACTGTTTTCATCTGCAAGACATCAGGGGACACAGCTATTATACAATCACTTCATTAAGATGCAATAATTTTGATACTTAGTTTCATCTTTGTTTGCTTAACTGGAGACTCCAGATCCCTAAAACGCTTTAGCTTGCTGAAACGCTTTATGTGTGAAAAGGATCTTTTTTTTTTCATTTTGCAGAAAGTGCAGATTTCAATAGAAATTGGCACTTTAAAAGTTAACCTTGTTACGCTCCCCTGGCTGTCAATCAGGCAATTAATCCTGTTGCTTCCTGGTTGCTTATCTCATTGAACTGCATTTGGAAGTCTGTGATTGGACAGCCACAGAAAGTCTGGGCAGGGGAAATATAGGTTTTCTTGCAAAGCCAGTAGAAGGGAATTGCAACTATTGAACACTGTTTTTAAATATACTCCAAATGAAAAAATGCATAATGAAATGCATGCATGTTTTAATTCGGGTATATCCACTAAACAGCAAGTTGAATTTTTAGTTTTATTTATTATTTGTGCAGTGGAATATCCCTTTAACCCACTGCAGCAAAGACAGACGTGTAAACAAATTTGAATAGACATAGTGCACACAAACCTGAAGAACATAACAATGTGATAAACAATCAGAGAGCAGCACAGTTACATTATAATGTTAGATATACAAGGGTAGAGTGCCCAAAGTGAAAATAGCAAAGTGTGTATAAACCCCTAACTGGATTGAGATTGTTCAATATTTAGAAAACAACTTAACGGTATTCCAGAAATGGATTGTACAGATCCTTTCAAAACAATCAGGACACATCTTTAAATATTTCAGGCCTGAAGATAGTAAGGGGATAGTTTAAGTGTACTACATGTCCCGTGGATTGCAAAAGTTGCCTTAGCCATAGAGAGACACATGGTTATCATACCTGAAATTAAATTACCAGAGACCCATGGCAGAGAATGGTGTCAAAGCTCTATATGCCACTCCTCCAGACCTATAGCTCCATATCAGGCTACAGGGTTAACATGGAGAAATCTAGTGCACTCCCCATGAATCTCTCACGGGCGGACATTGCCCAAATTACCACAGGCCATCACTTACACATCTCACCCACATCGCTCACATATCTAGGAATCAAACTACCAGCAAACCCCACCGCACTATATAGTCTAAATTACCCACCCATGATTGACACACTCATATCGGACATGGAAACCTGGGCGGACAAACCCATCTCCTGGATCGGGAGAATACACTCGGTCAAAATGAATATCTTACCTCGTATATTATTCTTATTCCAGGCCCTGCCCATCCCTATCACAAAACAAGACCTCACTCCCTTATAACGGGCAATAGGCCAATTCACTTGGCAGAACAAGAGACACAGAGTGTCCCGAAACATCTTCTACCGCCCCAAGATGAGAGGCGGTCTTGGACTACCCCACTTACACTTTTACTACTTAGCGGCCCAACTAACGCAAATAGCCTTATGGCATACCCCCCCTCAGAAACTAGACGATGGGTTGACCTGGAGTCATTACTCATGAAATCAGACCTCCCACAATTTTACATCTGGACCCCAAGGGAACACAGAGCATTACCAAGAACAGCATGCCCATCCATCACCAACTCCATCCAGCTAATGGACATGGCTGCCCTTAAATATGAACTAATGTCCTCACCCTCCCTCCTCACCCCAATATACTGCAACAGGGCCTTCTTGCCGGGCATGATACCATGGGACTTAAAGGGCCTCGAGAGAGCTGGCCTCCAGAGAGTCCACCAATTATACGCAGGGGACTCCGTGGTCTCCCAGAATTGCAAACCAGAGCAACCCTAACCACATCTGACTTTTTCAGATGCCTCCAACTCCGAAACTACGCTTCCCGAGCGACTGTAAAAACCGCCGCCAAAACCACACCGACCTTCTTCGAACAAATCTGCCACACAGAGAAATACCAACGAAGCATGATTACCCAACTCTACTCCCACCTCTGTTCCACCACTAAGGAATGGGGCACTCTACATTACACTAATAAGTGTGAAACCGACTTGGGCGAAACACTAGAGGGTATCGACTAGCAAGACATATGGGAGGCCAACTCAAAAACTTCTATATGCGTCACAATGCAAGAACAATCCTATAAAACAATTTTCCGGTGGTACACCACACCAGTCCAATTGTACCATATGAAAAAGACACCCACAGACCTCTGCTGGCGGTACTGCGGAGCAAAAGGGACATACACTCACAGGTGGTGGTCCTGTCCCAAGGTTAGAACATTTTGGGAAGGCATCCAAACACTGACATCCCAGATACTAACCAGACCTGTCGAACTAAACCCACAGACGTTCCTCCTGGCTAAACCCTATGATAACTGGCCCAGGCCAGAACAACAGCTGTTCAACAAAATCACTCTAGCAGCCAGACGGGTCTTGGCCCAAACCTGGTTACAACCCACCACACCCCCCCATGACCATAGTACTTAACAAAATTAAGGAATGTCACCTTATGGAAAAAATGACAGCCCAAATTCGAGGCTCCATAAAGTCGTTCTCCAGGACGTGGGAACCGTGGGAAAGCGACATTGACAAATAATAATGACACCCGGACCGATCAACGAACCAACAAATAATACACCAAACAAGACGCCATACTTAAACCCACATGTGTACCCTCTCCCCTCTCCTCACCCCAAACCCCCACCTCTCTTTCTTCTAGGCCGAGACAACCAGTACCCCAGCCTACTATCCCCCACACCAAGCTATTGAAACACTACCTCAGTTAAACCCATTGTTACTTACTGTTATGTATGTAATTTCTTTTCTTGTTCTACAAAAAACGCTGACAGACGGCGGCTACACCACAAGTGCAAATAGGACATACTAAGTATACTGCCTTTATCTGTACCAACCGCGCACTTTTGAACCATGTACTGGCTTTGCACAAGCCTAAATTCAGAAAATGTCACATCCCCTGTCAATGCAAAAATAAAGAATTATAAAAAAAAAAAAAAAGCTCTATATGCCAGTTCTTGTCTAGGATGCCAGGATATGCATATTACTTCTGCCAATCTACCACATTTGTTACGACAATAAGGAACAACACGGAGACCAAAGAGGGCAGATAATATAGGCCCTACTCAGGTGTGAACCATCCCCCCTCTTCCTTCAAAAAATTCAGGTGGCAGACAAACCTATTTCTTTCTTTCTAATATTGGCTTCTGATTATCTCAAATGTGAGTGATTTAATTGCAACCAGGGATTAGCAAGTTTTTTTTTTTAATTCTCTAGCTAACCACTCAATAAAAAACAGGAATGCATT